AAACGTATAATTCACGGTTGGCCAAATCCACCTTATACCAATTGAGACATCACCTTCAAGCTCAGCAAACCAGCGTAATTTTTCCTAGGTGGATTTAGTAACTTAAAACCGAGTTAAGTCTCATTTAAATCTCATGTCTAAAGTATTAATCATCAAAGACTCTACATGGACTTACACCTCTCACATAATTCTACATTTCACCCCTATAAAAGAATTGGACACTTGACATCAATGAAACAAACACGCTCCATCCACTATGAAGCCAAACGGCTTCGTGGCTCACCTGGCATTAGCAAAATCAAAAACATTAATCACCATAGAACGTTTATGAAAAAAGTTTTGTAGAACATAAATAAAGAAAGATACTCAATAAATTGTTTCCTATACCCTGGAAATATGTATATATGGAACGTCACTCAGTGGCAGGAAAAACCTTTGCAGCCAACTCTTGATAGGGAGATTGACCAGAGATTCTGAAAGAAGAATCAAAAGGGTGAATTAAGGACCATTTTAGAACAAAATTGGGGAAAATAAGTTTTTTGATTTATAACACCAGACTAAGTACATAAAACCAAACATTTTGTGTACTTGTGTCTGAAAGGTCAAGGTTTTGCAGAAGGACTGCACCCTGAACCTTGGGAGCGGAGGAGGATGCACCTCTTTCTCAATCGCATTCTCGTCCTGCTGCAAGGGAAACAGAAACAGGTATCAACTTCTTGAAATATAAGATCATCATCTTATACTTGGCTATTATAAAAGAATTGGAAACAAATTCTATAAAATCATATACAAACCTATTGGTAGCCGACAATCCAAGACTCATACAAGGTAATTTTTGCGTGGGATTGTCTTCCAATTAACATTAGTTTTCAGTATCAAAGTGCCTATAATCATATCACTTTTATAGACTTTGTCGGAGTATATATGTGCATATCTTAGTTTGTCCATGATAGCAACAACTGGAATTCATTTATAATTTTAGACCTGCATGGTTGTAATGTTAATTTGTAAATTATCTCTACTTAACTATATCTCTTTGGTTGGTAACTGTGTTATTGGTGTTATCGTAATATATTCGTCAATTAACCATGAATGCCTTTATCACACTCTGGAGCACCTCGATTTGGTTGATACATATCAGTCCTTTGTGGTGACCTTTTCTTTTGAATGAAGAATAAATCTAGTGGCTATTTGATGGTCTTTAAAGTAAGTGTTGCCAAAATGTGCAATCCTTGCATATCAAGCTTTCTCTTCTTTTTATCACTCTTTGAAAACGGCGGGTATGATCTTGGGGTTCAATTGATATACTCTCTTCCACATATATAGCGGACTGAGAGGTTGTGTGGGCAGTCTCGGTTGGAGATTGTTGTTGAGAATGTGTACATATAAATACAACTGATAATGTGTTATACACTGGGATATTTTTTGGTATTATTTTGTTGGAGTATTTATGTTAGTTGTTTCTCAGTTCTGGAACTTAATGGGCTGTTTATGTATTTATAAAATTTAGTTTGTTTCTGTTTATGTTATTTTCATTTTTGGTTTGGTTTGAGTAACAAAGTTAAAAACTAATGAATGTGATAAAAATTTGGATTAAATTTGTTTTTGTTATAGTTTTTTGAGTAATTTTTAGTGATTCGATATAAAAGGTAGGTAATTTGGATTTTTGGATCAAATATATGGTAGTTCATATTGTTCGAATATAGGATAAAGAATATTGGACTAATTTGGTTTATAATAGTGTATTTTGCATATTTTGTTATTTAAAACTAAATACAATTAATATTTTAAAATATATAAGCTATAATTTAGATACTCAGGTATCTATTTTTTATATGGCTCTTAGACCATCTCCAATGTATTTTGCTATTTTCACCTTTAAAATAAAGAAACTCTAAAATAAAAGTGAGTTATTTTCCAATGTATTCCCTCTAAAAAACAATCTCTAAATAGAGGAATGCTATGTCTTCCTCTATAATATAAGGGTAAAGACAGAGATTTCTATTATAGAGGAAGAAATAGAGGTGGATTGGAGTACGTTTACCTTTAAATGTTATTATAGAGATAAAAATAACAATGGGTTGGAGATGCTTTTAAGTTCATTTTTTGGTTCTGAATATATATTAACCATTTGGGTGTTTTTTAATTTTTGATTTGATTTAAGGTTATTGTATGATTTTTGAATCTCACACCAGGCCAAGTGACTTTCAGCTATCAACTGGTAACATCAGATTGAGCGGTGCGGGACACTTATTCAACTGCAGTGCGGTCATAACAGTTATTGAGTGCCCTCTCAGCAGTTCATTTGGTCGTGATGCTGAGCTCTCGTCAGAGTTGTTTGACCGGCTGTTGTGACTTCATTCAGTAGAGGCGTTGCGTTAACCGGGACTTCAGCACTGCCAATAGCTATGTCAGTTTTAGTTTAGTTCTGACCACCTGAGCAGATGCAGGACAAACATATAGCGCCAGGCATATAGCATCACCAGGTTGGTTATTTCCGCGCTGTAAACCCACAGTAAGATATATCACACTACTAGAAGTATTGACAGCGTTTGCATCTAGCTTGGACCCCATAACAGACTCAAATTTCTTCACACCACCATATTTAGTAGTACTTGTGGAGCAGCTAGCTCCAGACTCGCCCAAACCAGCGGTTAGTCAAATTGACATCTCTTTATTTGCAAGTTCCAAAATATACAATCTTCAATGTATAGGCGACCTGCAAATTTTGGTGCATTTGTATCAGAAAATTTCCACAGTCAAACATAACAAACAGAAAGGGTAGAGAGATGGTTCTGAGCTTCAATAAACTTGGGGACTAATTCTGGTGGAAACAATGAACGTAGGTCCACACGCACCCTAACTAACTTCTAGTGAAGTTGGCTGGTCTGAACATCAAAAGCACTAAGCAAAAGGAAAAGAAATTGGAGCACTTTAGGCGCTTGGTCTTAAAGATACCAGGAAACTAAACGTGAATAATCATCATGGGATTTAATCTTATTATAAAACAGATCACTGTAAGTTGTAAAATAAATACCACTAATTATCTTCTCTTAACGCCCGATTTGGAGATCAATATCGTAAACATCAAATGAAAGTATGAATAATTGCTAAATATTTTCTGAAATATGAAAGTTAAGTAGAAGTTACATCAAAATACGATAGGAAGCTTGATCGTACCATTATCGTTGGTGCCCGAAGGATCCAAAATATGCACTGGAAAACTGGAGGCAAGCTTGTGAAATTCGTAGAACCATATTCTTTTGTCTGATCATATTTAGAAGAATTCATGAACTTTAAAATTGAATGAGATCTGGAAAGTTTCAATGCAAAAGGAAAACAAACATTCATAACTCGACAATGAAGCTTGATGAAAGATCATAGAGTTCATATGTTGTTATGTTGAGTGGTTGTCGTTGGCTCGTTGCCCTAACTTAATCATCATAGAACGATAAAATTAAATATAAATAGATAACGGCTTTGCAGAGGACTTATGCTTTCTTTACTGTTTTCAGGAGTTGAGAAGATGATGTTTAATGAAAAAAAGGTTACCTTTTATAGGAGCAAAGACACCGTCTTGCAAAAGAATAAGTTGCATTCAATAAGATTATGATAAAGGTTTTGAATCAAGAACATGTAAAGGTTCCGTTGATTAATTAGAAGAGAATACAATAGGTCGCGACTGGAGATTCACAAAGCAATTTCTCACATGGATTGAACCACCGAAGAAAACATGAACCCTAAAACTCAGTGGTTGTTGTTGGTCTCACTGTTTTTTGGGCTGGATCACGTGACTACAAAAAAGCCCAGAAAACAACCCGCAAACAAAAAGCCCACGCGCCTACCATGAAACGATGAGTTCTGTGTTTATGGGACATGTGTCACGTACATAAGAGACTAATTTCTGGCGTGGCACCCTCACAAAAGAGGGAACTCTTCTTTATATATAAAGATATACTACAAAGTATATAATTAAATTATATATGATATACGAATGAATATGGAGATAACAGTATCGATTAAAATAAAAGAGAATAAAGCACATGAAGAAGCTACTAAACAATCGGAAAAGAAAAGCAAGAATATGAAGCAGCCGATGACTCATGTGCGTCCGGCAAGAGAAACAAAGAGTAGAAGAAAGAAAGAATATATTTTTACTTACCAAAGAACTAAAGAATATTTGTCAAAAAAAAGAAGAAGAATATTTTTCTTTGGCAAGTTGGTGTTAGCGGAATCACAGTGTCCTATGCTATCGACTATGCCTATATATATTTTCTCACCGAAAGCTCGAATCTCCTTCTCACAAAGATTCAGTCATCAATGGAGATATGTTTACCAGAATCATTAGATTATAAATTGACAACTTATTCGTTCTTTCTTTGGGGCGCCGGGTCTACGATACTAGCTTCTACCGTGCTGATTTTTATGTCCGCACATTGTTCGCAAGTATCATCCTTGTTTTCTTACGAGATTGGTCTGAGTACTCATAACTATAACAGATTGTTTGATTTCTCTTCGTTTTTCCTGCAATCTGATTTGATTTTTTTTAACATATAATGCCTAATCATATATATTAATGTACTTTATAGTGTATTATATCAACTCAATCATTGTAGCCAAAAGGTATTCTAGACTATTGCTTGCAACCAACTTGCCAGTAAAAACCTTACTACAAATAGTTATATCACTAATATTATGAGGTCTCTCAAAAGTTTCTGACACTCTTTTTGATTGTTAACCCTAAAATTAACACGGGACAGGCCATGCATAACACGCACTCACGCATCTATATGACACTTTCACTCGCATTGTGAAATATTATTCACGATTAATAACGATTGCTCGAATCGTATTCGAGAACAACTAATCAGTACTGTTAAATGACCATGTATATAAAAGAGATAAGCAGAATCCAAAGACTCACTCACGCACTTGCTATATATAGCACAACATATTTCACGCATTTTACTTACTCAAAATAAACAAAACATACATTGATCAAAAAAAAGAGAAAGCTTCACAAAACACTCATCGATCAATCTGATGGACAAGGTGATGAAAATGTCGTCAGAGAAAGGAGTGGTGATCTTGACGAAAAGCTCCTGTTGTCTCTGCTATGCCGTTCAGATCCTGTTCCGTGACCTTAGGGTTCAACCAATGATCCACGAGATCGACAACGATCCAGACTGCCGCGAAATCGAGAAGGCTCTCCTCCGTATCGGCTGTTCCACGGCAGTGCCAGCTGTCTTCGTAGGTGGCAAGCTCGTTGGTTCCACCAATGAAGTCATGTCCCTTCACCTTAGTGGTTCTCTCGTCCCCTTGATCAAACCCTATCAGTCCGTCCTTTACCAGGCCAATTGAACCAACTCCATCGATATTCTCCATATAATTTAATCTTATCAGCTAGCTAGTGACAATAAAAACTGTTATAGCTAGCTAGAGTGTGAACTCGATGCATACTAACTACTAGATAGAAATTCAGATGAGTTCTCCTTCTGATATTTTATCATATGTGTCTTCTATTTTTAGCATCTTTCGTGTTTCAGCCTAGTTAATCAACTGGTTTATGTTGATATGTACGTATAATTCTCTGTTTAATTATGCTACTGAAAAAGTATTCAAGACGATATGTCAATATACTTTCATTTATTGGATCTCATCCAATATTGAAAAGACTTTCCATACTTTTAACAACGAGAGATATTCCAACCGATCGATCGACATGGACAACATGCATGTTCTGATAATACTAGCTTACTTATGGATTTTAACAAAGAAAGCGGCTTATCTAGAAGAACACTGTATGATATGTTAACCAAAAAACCGGGTTCACAATTTTACTTTTAAGAAATTGCAATCTTGTGATGGATGACATTCAATAAATATCAAACTGAATTATTGTACTCTAGGGAAAAAAATACGTGACGTTAACTGAGTTTTAAGTGCAACCACATGATCACCCTGATCTTCTTATCTGATTATTAAAACCATCTTTATTTATGTACTACTATCTATCAACGTTTTACTTCGTAAGTCAACTAACATATGTTTTTTTTTTTTAAAACAAAGGTTATTCTATTACTCAAACTTAAGAAATTCTAACCAGAATAGAACAACTAACATATGTTAAAATGAACTATACACTCTGCTATATTATAGTATTTGTAAAATACAAGGGAAAATTCATGTTCATAAAATACAAGGGAAATTTTGTGTTGTAACATTCTCATCATTACAATATAGTCCTTTAAGTTTTAATACGTTATTATTCGCTCTTGACTGCAAAAGGTCGAAGAATAAAAGTAGAAGGAGCTTTACAAGATGTGTGGGACAGCTTTTCTTGAACTCCAACAACTTGGGATCGTGGGAGTTGGAGGGGAATATCGGGAGTTGTATACGACGTGTAAGAAGTAAGAACCACATCCACAATGATCACTTGTAGTCGCTGTTATAAGATCCGAGATTCTTTGACTGGCGCGTGAGAAAAGCATACCCCTATAGGCTACATATTCGTATCCAAAAAGATATATATATATAGAGAGAGAGATACAGCCTCTATGATAACTTGAGAAAATTGTCCATTTCTTGCTTTTTTAAAAGAGTAATGAAGCTCATGCAAGTGCAACTATTATAATTCACCAACGTGGATAAAATGGAGGCATCTCCTCTCCTGCCCCAGTTAATTAGAGACAATCTTTTATGGATTTCTCAAATTTTCTATACCCATTGCTTTAATGAAATATTGAAATCCAATTTTGCCTTTTTATTTTTGAATTTTTTTTTTTTTAAATTAAAATTTTAAGTTTTCAAATTTTTAAATTTCAAATTTTCAAATTTCAAAATTTCAAATTATGGATACTGAATATAGTTATACCGAGTTCTACTAAGTTATACTAAGTATTACTGGTTATACTGAGTACTATTGAGTGGAGTTATACTGAGTATTACTAAGTCTGAATATACCGAGTTTTACTAAGTTATACTGAGTATTATTGAGTGTAGTTATATTGAGTTATACTGAATCATAATGAGTATTACTGCGTAATACTAAGTACTACTAAATTAGTTATACCAAATTTAACTGAGTTAGTAATACCGAGTTATACTGGATCCAGATCTGAAGATGAAATCAACCAAAAACACGAAAATAAATTGCAAAGGAAGAACAACACTACAAGAAAACATGGCATATTCCAAGGAAAATTCCGACGGCCAAAAAAATTCTCAGAATATCCCGATGCAATTCCGACGAAATTCCGAGGAAACCTAAAAATTGTGTTTCCTCGAAATTTCATCGGAATATTCTGACGAGATTCCGAGGAAACTACATTCCGTCGGGATATACCAAGGACATTCCAAGGGTTAATTATAGCCGTTATCGAGCCGTTGGGAAAGTTCAAAAATTCCGACGATATTCTGACGAATGTAAACGTCCCTCGGAATTTCATCGGAATTCCGATGAAATTCCGAGGGACATTTATAACCGTTGTATAGATGTTGTATATTCGAGGGAATTCCGACAGAAAATGAAATTTCCGTCGGTATTTCGTCGGAATTGTAGGCAACATTTCATCTATAAATACAAGCACCTCTCATCCTCTTTCATTCATTCAATATTCTCATCCTCTCACTTATACACACGAAATTACTTACGGAAAAATACCTAAAAGGTATTAGAGAATTCATGGCGGTAGTTCAATGACAACTGGAAGCAAAAACGGGTATTTTAAGGTGTCCATGCTCTACTTGTAAAAATAAAAAGGTTATAAAAGAGTGGGATGTTTGGACTCATCTATATTTGAACGGGTATACACGAAGTTACAAAATTTGGTATCATCACAGGAAACTGATTATGAATATGGTAGTACTAGCGAACCTCAGACATCGGATAGGTTAGAAGAACCAATTAGAACGGATGTAGATTTTGGTGTAGCTGCTGACCAGATGGTAAATGATCATTTTAGAGGGGAAGAATTACCCAATGCAGAAGCTATGAGATTTTTTGATATGTTGGATGCAGGAAAACAACCTTTGTACCAAGGTTGCAGAGATGGTCATTCCCCTTTATCATCTTCAACAAGACTGATGGGCATTAAAACTGATTATAATTTGGCTGAAGAATGTGTCGATGCGATTGCTGATTTTCTAAAGGGTATTCTACCAGAGGATAATCTATCCCCGGGTTCATACTACGAGGTTCAGAAACTCGTAGCTGGTTTTGTTTACCGTATCAGGTAATAGATGTATGCATCAGTAACTGCATGATTTATTGGAGGATGGATGAGAACCAGGTTACATGCAAATTTTGTGGGAAAGCTGGTTACAGAGATACGAGTGGAAGAGTTCCAGTGCCATATAAAAGGATGTGGTATTTGCCTCTGACAAAAAGGTTGAAGAGGTTGTATCAATCTGAACGCACAGCCAAATCAATGAGATGGCATGCAGAGCATTTGACAGATGGTGAGATTAGACATCCTTCAGATGCAAAAGCATGGAAGCATTTCCAATCAACATATCCAAAATTTGCGTCTGAGAGAATAAATGTATACCTTGGATTATGTACCGATGGTTTTATCCCATTTGGCAAGCATGGAAGACAGTATTCTCTATGGCAAGTCATTCTTACACAATACAACTTACCGCCAAACTTGTGTTTTCGTCGAGAGTTTTTGCTTCTCTCCATTCTCGTTCCTGGGCCAGAGCATCCTAAGAGATCACTTGATGTGTTTCTTCAGCCACTAATATATGAATTACAACAACTATGGGCTCAAGGTGAAGATACATACGATGTTCTGTGCAAAGAAAACTTTCAAATGAGGGCAGTACTTATGTGGACAATAAGTGATTTTCTAGCATATGGTATGTTATATGGATGGACAACGCATGAAAGGCTATCATGTCCACATTGTAAAGATAACAAAGATGCTTTCCAACTAAAACATGGAAGGAAAACGTGGTTGTTTGGCTGTCACAGGAGATTCCTACCACCTGATCATCCATATCGTAGGAGTAGGACTTTGTTTACGAAGAACAAGAGGGTGTTTGACAGTCCACCCCTGGAAATTTATGAGGCAGATTTGTTGACACAGCTAAGAGATTTTGGTGCAGAAAGGACGCCAGACGTTAGTGGACATGTTCATTATACATAATTTGCACAAAAAGAATATCTTTTGAGATCTGCCATATTGGAAGGATCATCTGTTGCGGCATAATTTAAATGTCATGCATATTGAGATGAACTTTTTTGAAAATCTTATGAACACGATCCTTAACGTCCAAGGTAAAACGAAAGATAATTTGAAGTCAAGACTAGATTTAATCGATATATGTGATCGTTCTGAACTTCATGTTGATGAGAATGGTAGGGCTTCTGATCCCATATACCGACTGGATGCAGCGGGAAAAGATTCGTTCTTTGATTGAATTACAAACAATGTGAATTTCCAGACGGTTACGCATCCAATTTGGATAACTCTGTAGACATAAACGAAGCAAAGTTTATCGGCTTGAAGAGTCACGATTGCCATGTAATGATGCAGCGCCTTCTTCCGTTTGCCTTCTCGGCGCTATTACCTCGAAAGGTTCATGAAGCAATTGCAGGCATAAGTGCTTTCTGCCGTGATTTATGCTCGAAATTAGTGACTCGAGAAGGTATCCAAAATTAGAAGAATAATATATTTGTGCTCCAGTGCTACCTAGAATAGATATTTGTCCCCCATCATTTTTTGATGTTATGAAGCATCTTGCTATTCACTTGGCAAGAGAATTAGAAAATGGTGGTCCTGTGCAGTATAGATTGATGTATCTTTACGATAGGTATATGTTCATCTGAAGAAGAAGGTCAAAAATTTAAGTAGGGTCGAAAGTTCTATAGTCGCACAGATGATCAATGAAGAAACTTCAAACTTTGCTGAGTACTACTTTCCAGCAGAAGTGCAGACAAAAAACAGAAGACTTACTCGTCATGATGATAGAGGCAAAATAGAAACATATTATGTTACCGTTCCAAACATCTTCACAGATGTTGGACGACTTAGCGCAAAACCAAAGGATCGTCGACTTACTAAGCAAGAGCATCATCATTTGCAAACATATTAATTTCGACGGATATTAAAGGGGTCATCGGAATTTCCTCGGAATATTTTCATTTAACCGGGAATCAGAACGTTCAAAATTTTCGCGAAAATTGAATTAAGTTATTTCCGACGAAATTCCGAGGAACCTTTCTGTCGGAATGTTCTGATATATCTCTCTCACGGTTTCTTCTTCCTCATTTCTCCTATTTCTCTCTAAAACATCTCCGAAGCTCTCTCTCCTCCCTCTCGATAATCTCCGGAGAATGCTCCCTATTCCTTCTCAAATTCGATCACAAACAATGTAAGAACCCTATCCCCTTCTTTTAGGTTCCTTTTGGTTAGGTTTTGGAATAGATTTGATGATTTGAAAGTGTTTTGATAGAATTTTGTTAGGGTGATTGGTAGATTATGATTTTGATAGGTTAGGATTCTGATTTTGTTAGGATAATTTGTTGTATTGAATTGATTTT